TATATACATATTATGATAAATGAAGATGACTGCTGCCCTCACTCAGCTTTGGCGTCTGCCATTTATGTGGAGGTATGGTTGTAATATTTGCATTAATATTTCACATTATAATTCATTAAAAAAGAAAAATAAACGTCGATTATGGGCGGCATGCGGTGGTATGCGGTGGCATGCGGTGGTATGCGGTGGCATGCGGTGGTTTGCGGTGGCATGCGGTGGTATGCGGTGGCATGCGGTGGTATGCGCCTTTTAGTGAGACCCCATCTTTAGCGACCTTGTAGAAAATCTATTAAAACTCTATAAAGCTGGTTTAGAAAATCATATAGAATTAGCCTATAGAAAAGCTGTAGAAATTTTATAGAATGGTTTCTTTAGAAATTCTATACATTATTTTCTTACGGGAACCTGCGCGCTAAGAATTATGAACAGTCTTTGATTAATATAATACCGTAAAATCTCGAATAGAAGCCCTGGATTTCTTTTTTTTTTTTATTGCGACCTTTGGATGGGCTTCATTTCGAGATGGGCTTCTTTTCAAAACTGCTCTTGCAAAGTAAAGGGGCGGGGGCTTCTTTTCAAAATGAATGCTATAAATTTTTGGAATAACTGTATAAAGCAATAAATAGGGCCACTATATCATCAGTCTGTATCAGAGTGTATTAGGTCTAACCGGCAATCACCTTTTAATTTATTTTGTTTGGAATATATGTACAGTCCTATACTGTACTCTCTCGAAAAAAAAGCCCATGTTATCTTAAAAAGAAGTCCATGGGCTTCTTTTCGAGATGGGCTCATTTTCGAGACTACTTTTGCAAACTAAAGAGGGGGCTTCAATTCGAGATGGGTCACTTCTCTAGATTAAGCCCATTGGACTTCTATTCGAGGTTTTACGGTAGGCCTATATCATCTTTTATTTACCAACAAAATATTGTTTTATTCTTAATTATAGATATCGTTTGAGGCGACAGTTAATGGAAGTAACTGTGGTGTTGCTATTGATGACATTGTCGTTAAAAACGGTCATGTATGTAAGTACAGTATACTAAATACACGTTTTTTAGTTAATTCCAATTGTATAGCGATCGAAAGCATTTGATTTATTTTTGTCGGACATGACTAGCAGAACACTAATTATCATATAGCCTTGGCGAGAAGAGTGTTAGACCAAAATTCAGTTGTGTAAGAGAAAGTATTTGCGGATTACATACAGTGTCAATATTGTTAACCCAGGTGGTTTAGTGATATGACACTCGCATTTATAGCCAGTATTTGCAGGTGCGAATCCCGCCAGAGACACTTTTTATACAATTGAATAAGGAACCTTTCGTAGATGCTTCATAGGATTATAGCATAACATGTTCGTATTCGAGCATTTTAATTATCATTTATCATAAAATTAAGGTTACCTCACCTCCAGGGGTGGTGCCAGGTTTTCCCCGACGAGGGCAAACGGGCGTGGTCGGGCGTCGCTTAAAATGTTTCGAAAGTTGACCAGGAGGCGATGCTCCCGACAAATATGACAATTTAAGGGTTTCAAAGACTTATTTACAGTAATCGATATTTTAGATATAGAGTCTATAGAACAACTACAGGCCTACAAATATTTTTTTCTCTGCAACGAATTGTGGTTTTTCTCTCCGACGGGGTGACCGGCATAGTATCTGTCTCTTATACACATCTAGATGTGTATAAGAGACTAGCGCCACCCCTGCTCACCTCACCTGTCCTCATCGTACCATGTGGCACATAAGGCCAGTAATGGAAAGGAAAACTTGAGGGTATATAATAATTCCATTGAAAGCCTTTGATTATTTTAACGTGGATATCACATAAACGAAAATAGTGTGAGCGTATCAGTTGTATGAGAGACTGTATCTGGTGTATGAGAGACTGTATCTGGTGATTAGATACAGTGGCAATATTGTTAATCTCTGTGGTCTACTGTTATTGCACACGTCTTGATAGCGAAGGCTTGCAGATTCGAATCCCGTCAGAAACATTTTCATACTGAAAAAAAGAACCTTTTGTAGAAGAGATATGCTTGGTACGATTACAGCATCATTTTCTATATTTGACCATTTTTATAATTATTTAACAAAAGTATTCGAAAGGCAAATACGATGGTATATTAGGATGATGATGATAATAATAATAATAATAATAATAATAATTATTATTATTATTATTGTTATTATTATTATTATTATTATTATTATAAGGAAAATGATAATATTAAGAATAAAGAAAATAACAGGCCTATACAAATAATACAGATGCGTTTATAGCGTATACTGTACCTGATGAGGAAGGCGGGGTTAATTAAACTATTTACGTAAAGTAATATTGTCGCAATTGTTGACGTAATCGAAATTGTTATAATATTTTCGTCCTTCTAGTACCTCCTGACCCAACCACGCGATCGCCTATTACTACTACCATTCAAGCACCTTTAAGTGGATCGGGTCAACCCAAGGATGTAATAGCAACAACCTTTCCGGAAGCAAAACAAGGTAAGGTCAAAATAAAAAAATAATGCTACATGTTAGCGTCACCACATGTTAGCATGTTAACATGTTAACATGCTACACATGTTAACATGCTACATGTTAGCGTCACCACCAATTTTCGACCCATTTTTTTTTAAAATTAGAGGCGATTTTTTTTTAATTAAAAAAAAGAATATTGTCCAAGAAATGCTTATCAAAATTAATAGGGCCTAATGTAAGTGAATTAAAACAATGATTTCACCCACCAGGTGTAATATTTATTGTAGGCCTATTGAAAATGATTAATTTTAACACTTTTTTAGGTTTCTGAATGAAATTGAAAGTATTACATTTTTTAAAATTTACTTTGTCCATGATGTTAAAGGATACAAATATATATTTACAAAAGAAGTAAACAAAATACAGAACAAATGAATTGCATGTAAAAATTACAAAAAAACCCAAATCAGTTCTAAGTAATAGCAAAACCGACAGAGCAACTGCTATTCCGTACAAAAACATATGAATAATGAAAAATTAATTCAAAAATAATGATTAGGCCTACATCAAAAGAACGCAAACATTACACAAAAACATTAACATTTTATGTGATTATAATAAATTATTATTACAGTAAATAAATTTATATTATTATAATTAATTTATTAAATTACATTAAGGAATTTCAAATTTCATTAATTTGTAATTTTGCTTTTAAACAAAGAAGATGTAAATATATATATACTGTATTGTATATATATATATACTGTATATATATATATATATATATATATATATATATATATATAACCTATTATATCATATACAGCTATATAATAGAATTTTTACTTGATTTGTATATAATCAGTAAACCAAATACGGTAATTGTAGTATAAAATATAATGTCCCTATATGCATTCTTTGTAACCCTAAATTTTTAGTGTATAAGCAATTTGATCTCTGATTTGACCATGAACAGCATAGCGGATACACATTATATGAAAAAAATATGTGTAGGTAGACCTATTCATCGACAACTGAATATTGCGTCGCTGCAAGATTACTAGATTATAGTGTACAATTGACTAAACGCGTGTCTGGAAGCCGTGACGTTGAAACTTAATCTCAGTAACTTTGCAGTGATAATAATATACCCTTGACCTGAAAGCAATTAAAATAATAACCACTAATCATGTCCCCGGTCGAAACATTACACTGGTTGATATTATATGATAATAATATTGGTGTATAGACGCGTTTTATTGACGAGACAAATTTGCAAGTTTTAAGGAAAATTTATTAGACAGGAACGTCTTCTGATGATTGTCGCGTTAAAGATGTATGCCCGGGTTGCAATACAAACACTAGAAACTAAAAAGAACTGGAATATGAAAGAAAGAATAACTACAAAAGCAAGATATTTGCGTGTGCACAATTGTGCGATAGTATGCAAATATTGAATGTTTATAAACAAAACTAAAATATTTTTTTACATTGACTGAATAAAAAATTCATATTTGTTTTAACACACCAAAATAGATTTTTGTCATTTGACATTTTTATGAAAAATAAACTTTGCTCTACCTTTCTTACCAATGGAACAGTCCATCTTCTTTTTCAACGAATGAAAACGAAGTTGGTGTTGTGCAATGGGAAAAAATGAATGAAACAAAAATGAATGGAATGGTACTAAATTACAGTACATGAAGAATGACGCAAATAACGAAAAAATGATGACCAAAATAATAATGAACCTAAAAATAGTAACAGTAACAATAATAATGCAAATAATAGTGTTTTAAAATAATAATTATGTTTAATGTCTTACACTCTATTGATTTTTGTTTTACTTTGTAGATCACCATACAATGTGGATTCTGATTGCCATTATTATCGCTCTTGCTTTCGTAATTATTGTCGGCCTTTCGGTTCACTGTTGTATATACAGAAGGTAATAATTACCGATAGTTTACTTGATAATGAATGTATGAAAGCTATTATACGAAACTATACCATGAAGTTTATCAAGTTACACAATTTACAATGAAAAAGCATAAATTGAAATTAGCATAATGTTTATCAAATGTAATGGAGGAGGCCTACTTTACTTGAATCCTAATCTTATTTGAAATTTAGGGAAACAAAATACAAGATTGGTTTGGCCAAAATTTCATTTTTCCAAAACGAATGTGATGGGCAATGCTATACTTAAAAATTTGAAGACAGAAATCAGAGTCAATGAAAGAAAAGGAACAACATATTCCACTCAAAAAGCAAAACAGCTACTCCAGATATCAACACGTCGATTCATCCGGGGCGGATCCAGAGATGTGCAAAAGCGGGGGCCGAAAGTGGGGCCGATAGAGATAATACTACCCTAGGGGGTCCGGGGTATGAGCCAGCGAAATTGTTGTGTTCTAGACGCCCGAAAATAACCTCTGGGGCGTTTTGGGCTATCAATTTTTTTCATTCTTTTTCTTTCTTTTTTTTCTTTTTTACCCTTCAAAAAAGGGGGAGTGGTGGTCCGCCCTGGATTCATAGGATCTATGAGACGGATCGCTCGATCCTTCAATCAATCTAAAGTAGCCAATTCCAGCAGGTTATGCATGTATGTAGCTTTATAGTTCAACTGTGTAATTGCTATCGTTATACTGTACAATCAAAACCTACTTTACTTCAATGTCTTGTTTTCTGTTTTATTTCCCAGGAATCGTTCGCACAAAAAGGCTGACGAGGAATCGGTTGATGCCGATGCTAAAAGGAAGCGATTTCAGGAATCGAAGTCCGGAGGTTTAACAACCTCCGGCTACATGACACTGACCAAGACAAAATCGTATGACGTCACTAATACTGCTGATTTAGGCGCGATCGATCTAACAATTACGTCACCAAAACCAGGAACGATAACTTTTGGTAATGGGAAGTCTTTACCTCGTCTCCCCTCACTACCTGACGAAGCTAAAAAACACCGGCATAGTATAAATATGGATGTGACATATGATTATGTTGACGATGTACCTGCTGATTCCAATTTACCTAGAAATTTATCTGAAGATCGAACCTTATCTAAAGAAGATTCTACAGTGAATGCAATTTCAACTGATCACACACAAGAGTCACTGGACCCGCCTGTCTATTTCACACTTTCACCAACAGACCAGGGTTATTCTCACCTATCCGAATATAGTACAATGCCAGATGTGGTGAAAGTTGCAGACGATAGCGGATTGAACTATAAACCTAGTTTGGTGGCAAGAAACGTAAGCGGTCGTCGAAAATCATCGTTATCGTCATTGAGAGAAAAACTTAGTAAAGGGTTGTCAAATGCGTCAAACGAATACGAAGAGCTAAAAAGTGACGACTATTATGAGGAAGTTAATGTGGAGTGTCAACTGTAGATACACTAAGTGCAAGTGCACTCTCGCTTTCTTTCTATGTTTACGTTTTAACTGAAACAAATCGTTAGCGACATGTAGGCCTAGCATAGGCCTATGCCTAATCTTGGCTGTGAATTTTCAGGTTCTCTCTGGCCACTAGCTATACTACGCAATGCCGTATCCAGGATTTTCAAACGGTGCGAGTCAATATCGGGGTGGACCCACTTTACGTGTACATTCAAATAATGTGGACCCATTATCTTAAAAGTTGATTCATTTTACTCAACAAATATGAAAAATGCAAATACAAAATTATGCAAAATAAAAGAAATCTGGACCCCCTTTTTCAAAAGCGGACTCATTTTTTGCATAAAAAAAACATAATTTAGACCCATTTTTAAAAATGTGGACCCATATATGGCTCATTTGATTTGAGACAGCTGTGTTACACGATTTATATTGGTTGACTGATTGAATACGGATATGTGCAGAATATTTATAATTGAGACTCGATTTTCTACTTCAGAAACTGCATATTCCCCACTCCCCCCACCGATAGATGTAAAATAATTTACGTGTATACATGTCAGTTACCTATCGAACACATATTACTTGTACATTAAATATTGTAAATATTGTCAATATCATATTTATTTATAGTTAACGATAAAAACATGCATAACATCTATTAATTATTGCAGATTATATTCGACGATTTATGATACCGTTATGAATATACAGTTACGTCAACATATCATGTTAGACACTGGATGTATATAGGCTACAATAAATTATGGTTGCATCAATATTCTTTTGACATGGTTATTCTATATCAGTAATTTACAATGTGTTCCAGAGGCTTGGAGGAACGACACTGAATAATAAACATGGGAATGGCAGATTATTAATCCTACAATGAAAAAATGTATGCAATGGTTATCGCAATCGCTATATTTTATAGTTGTAATGGACGGTATGTTAGCCTATTATCACATTACAGCCTTACAATACATTAATCTCATACCAGTAAGGGAGTCATAGCGGGGCGCGGCTACGGGCTTTCCTGATTTAGACACAACACCATGCAACACAAGGTGATCACGGACCATATTTTATAATCAAAGTTAGTAAACCCGAATGCAACTGGCAACAAAATTTTAGTGGCTATTTGGATTCGAAAACAGGGAATAATCAGTGAAGACAGAGCAAACCAATCTCTCTAAAATACAATCACTCATCGTTCTTGAAACTATTGGCAGAGGGCGACATTCCGGATTACCAACATCTAACAATCCAATTATTGTATGAAGATTTGTTAAAACGATTGAAACGTCATACGCCACCTGTAAATTCGGTTCACTTAAAGACTTGTTTTATAATATCACTATGGTTCTATTCTTCCAGGCATAATTATCCAGAGAAAAAATGTTGAATTTGAGTATAAATTTGCTTATAATGAACAACAAAAAATATTCTAGTTGGTAAAATGGTGAACAGGCAAACAAATTGGCAGGCTGGGGACTAATATAGGATGTGTAAAATAATATATAAAATCATACTGAGGAGTTTAATAAAATTAATAGAATGACTAATTGGATTGAACCGATAATTAGCAGATATCAACCATTCTTTAGAGAGAACATTCGGTCGTCATTGACAAGAATCAACGCCGTATGACAAACTTGACATTACAAATGTTGACAGTCGGTGAAAGAGTCCATGGACCTTAAACTACCACAAAATCTAAAAAACAGCAAGTGAAGCTATTAATTGTTTGTATATAGAGTATTATCCTACTTATTTTTTCATTTTTTTTATTACTGTCATCATATGCCTGCTCATTATGGGCTGAAGTTGAAGTTGATTTTTTTTTTTTTTTTTTTTTTTTTTGTCTTACGCCGGGCACTCACTGCGTTGTACGACGAATCCAACTCCGCTTCCTGTGAGCGTTAAACGACGCGACACCATCTGCTAATTGCCGGTGACTGGGTGACTGTCTGAACTGATCGTCATTTTTTGTCACTAAAAACGATCCGTTGCACGCGCGTCGTGGCGTTGCGTTCTCTATGGGACTCACGTCGGCCGACGACCGTCGTGTGCGAGTGTTCGGCTTAAAGGCCTCAGATACAGTTGAATTCGGCCCCTGGGGTCCCACGGTGGCCACAGTGCTGTCTAAGCTTTGGTCATTACATCGGGAAAGATATCCAAATATTTATCGTAGTTTTTTAATACACATACTATTACGCACATTGCACCAACAGCTTAAAATCCCATCCAAATGTCGAGTTTACAGGGCAAACCGTTTTTACGGAAACAAGCAATTGTAGGTTTTGACAGGATTATTTACATTGTATAAAGCATTTTAAGCTATTATACACTTTCAATTCTATAGAAATTGGAGTTGCCCTTGCCTGTCAAACAGACTTACGGTATATTATAGTGGTAGTTGTGATGGTGATGTAGCGGATGAACATGATGAATGATCAATGATTATCATGGTGGTGGTGGATTGAACACGATGACTACAACGACGACGACGATGATGATGATAATGATGATGATGATGATGATGATGATCACAATATCATCAGTGGTGATATGGCTCTGTGGAGAATGTGTATCGCGTCCGTGTTCTTATATAACTTTTTTTGCGTTTCTATATCAATTCTTAGTGCAATGTAGGTGTAAATAAATTGTTTAATGCGTAGGTCAATTAAAGAATAGGGATTGACGTACAATTTAATAGTATGCAATTTTGTTTTGTTCAGAGATTTTACACTATACGCCTTTGTCACGAGAAAATGCATGCTTTAGTAAAATACATCTTTGTTATCATGGTTTTCGTGGTTCAGTAACTTCCATGCTAAGCCTAAGGCGTGGGTGAGCTTTCGTGTTCTCCAGATTAACCAACGATGCAGGTCTATTCTGACTAGAGAATAAATACTGTATAGCCTACATTTTTTAAATCATGCAGCACTTGAAACGAGTCTGAGCAGGGAGATTGCACCATGGGTCGCATACAGGATCTGTCTATTATCTTGGACAACACTTCTGCGGTTTACAGGGTCGGGGAGAGTATTTCCGGCTCCGTGTCCCTCACGCTATCCAACTCTACAAAAATTCCACGAATAAGCATTCATCTGTTAGGAAAGTCTATGGTATGTACTAAAAACATTATCCTTATAAAAAGTTTATACCGAAATCAGTGAAAGTTTTATGTTGATGTAGGAGGTTGGCGGAACGGATTATAAGCCCACAATGGTAGTCAATATACAACGTACCCGTATAGGCCCACATATTGTAGCATGAGGCTACCAGCTAACTTTTGCTTGTTGTGTAAAGTTTGTCAATGGACCATATCTATTTAGTAAGACTTCGTGATATATAGTTTTTCATTGATTCTATGGCTTTCCTTAAAACATTTTACATTTTTATATTAATACCGTAGTTGAATAAATGAAACATAGGCCTATATAAAGAATGTAATATTGACAGAAATTATATTTTTTTTAACAGGTACATTTTGGGAAGGAGCCGAATGAGGACAATGACGGTGGTGGTGATGATGATGATGATGATAAAAATAAGAAAAACGATGACAGTGAGGTGTACCTAGATGAGTACAAGATAATATGGGGCGGCGGTGAGTCTACTTATTTGGTCTAAAACTCATGTTCTAAAATTATATGATAGTTTAAGACATCATTGGAGTAAAGCTTCGAATTAAACACTATTTTCAATAATTATGATTTAGGTCAAAATATTAAATATAATATTACATATGAGATAATAATTATGATGATGGCGATGATGATCATTATGATGATGATATTAATAATAATAATAATAATAATAATAGTAATATAAATAATAATATAATTAAGTATCAATATAAAACAATTATTGAACATGATGATGATTACGATTATGTTGATTATGGTAATGTGGTAACGATGATGATGACAATGAATATAAATGTATAATTTCTATGTTATAAACCCATAATAATTATCGTACATTTGCATTGTGGGTTGAATTAATTCAATTCAATGTGTGTATTATACGGTATTGATGTTTTCTAAAGAATGATTATCTAAAGTAGGCCTATGCATTTCTTTTAACTTTAACATGTGTTTTATTGGATTATATTTAGCTGATGCAAGTACGATATTTGCACCTGGAAAAAATAATCTTCGTTTTGAATTCGTATTACCGTCAAGGTATGTGTACAACACTTTTGCGACGTAATCTATTGTTTAATACTAATGAATAAAATTGCACAATCCCATCAGTATATATTGCCATGCAGAATTGAACCTAGTGGTTGGTGCTGGGGGCTGTCTCTTATACACATCTAGATGTGTATAAGAGACAGTATATATAGCACATATGCAGCACATATGTTCCCAGCGAAATACATGTAAATATAGACATTGATACGATAAAAAAAGAAAATCATACACAGTTGACGTATTATTGGCAAGAATATTTCGTCCTTTCCTCAGTCCTGAGGGGGAAAATGAACCGACAGGCCTTTCGATACTTCATTTGTTCAAACCCTCAATGCAGTTCTTCAATAATATTGCATGTAGCTGTGAAAATGTATAAATTTGAACAAGTTTATAATAAATATATATATTCTACAACATATTTTATTACTGAGATTTAATTAACAAAGACCCTTTCTCTCCTGAGGTTTTATTAAAGGCTCCTGGTTCGAATCTTGGTTGAGTTATACATAAGTGTTGCATTAACTAGGTTCTTTTTTGGAAGATATGTTTATTCATGTTTATATATTTTGCTTTATTGAATCAAGTTGTTTACCGACTTCTTTCGAGGGTGAGCATGGGTATGTTCGATATTGGCTAGACGCAGAAATAGATCCTGGTCAGTTTACATTCGATAAAAAGTCAAGAAAAATAATTACAGTGATAAACAGAGTTGATTTGACACACCCAACGTACACAGTAAGTCAAATATAACCTTATAGATAGCAATTTATTAATTTTGTCTCTGTTTGTATATTACATCTTATAATTCTCATGACATACCGTAACAAAGATATATAATCATATATAGTATGTATATTGCCTTTATATACAGTTTTCTACATTTCTTTCCATTCACCAATACGTAAATTAATACTGACAGAATAGTGTGGTATTAAATGTATTGATCTGTGTTGTTCCTAAAGCACTTTTTCCTAAAATTGCATTAAACATTATTAACCAAGCTTCAACAAATTAAAAAATATTAAAATTTAGTGTAGTGGTATAAATTTTGCCATGCAGGTTATATAAATTAAATGTCCTCGTTTCGAGTGGCGACGGAGGCGATTGGGTTTATCTTCTTTTTTTTTTTTCATATTCAGATTGTTGGCAAGAATTTAGTTTTGATATCTTGATTTCATCTTAACATATGATTTCAAATGAGATCAGATGTACATATTGTTCGTAATTATTATTACATAGGGCATAATAGAACACGTATGTTTGTGTATGATCAATAGGTTAAAATCAGCGCTAATAAGGAGAAAGTTATACGTAATGCTGGATGCTGCTCAAAGCAACATAAAATCTACTCCAACCTGGTCCTTGAAAGACGCTCATATTCTCCAGGTATAATCCCATACAAGTTCTAAATTTTACTTAGTCTTCATACTACTATCAATGATATTAAAATCACAATTATCAATAAATAATAATAATAATAATAATGATAATAATAATAAAAATATAATAATAATAATAATAATAATAATAATAATAATAATAATTATTATTATTATTATTATTATTATTATTATTATTATTATAAGACTGATGATGATGGTGATGAAGAAGTTGATAATGATAATATATCGAGGATGACGATGATATTAAGGATAATGATGGTGATGATGATGATAACGACGACGATGGTGATGATGATGATGGTGATGATGATTACTATCATAAAAAAAGATAATTCAATAACGATTGCCATAACCACGACAGATGACAACAATTATGAGAATATCAAAATCATTAACCATGATAATGATATTAATCTTAAATGCTCGTACGTTTATTGCCATCAGGAGAGAGCTTAATATACAGTGGTGAGATAATGAATAGCTCTAAGAAAAAGGCGAAACCAAGCATATCATTCCACCAGAAATCAACTTATACCCGAGAAGAGAAAAGTAAAGTAATTGATAAGGTGGTAGCAGCGGAAGACTTACAGACTGTCAACAAACAAGACACGCAGAACTGGACCAACTTCGCTCTACAAATGCCACCAATCCCACCATCATTCAAATGCAAATCCATTGAAGTAGAATACTATCTCAAGGTAAGTTTCATTCCAATATAAAAAAAATACCGATGATTTATCTTACTTAATTATAGTGGTTGGTGCTGGGGGCGGTCCTTGACTTAACTTCTGTGTTGGCCTTGAGGTCGGGAGGTTCTAATCCCACGCGCTCCGTGTTTGTTTGTCAATCTGTCAATATTAGGATCAGATTGGTTATTGAGAATTGTTTCGCATTTTGTGAAAGTTGAATATTATTGATGTTATATAATATAATATGTTATATAAGGCATTTTATATAAGGCATTTTTGAACATGAATCCTATAAACGTACCATTCATATCTAAAAGGTAGGGGCTTCCAAGCAATTTAATTCACGACCAGTTATCCAAAGCTCATACATTTTCTGACCCACCCATTTCCAAATAAAAATACTGTCAAATATCCACTAATGTTGAATGTAATTTCAGCTTTCATTAAAGGTGTCGAGATCAAAGGAAATTTCAGTTTGCATACCTGTACTAATTGGAACGGTGCCGTTACCAACGTCGCTGTCACCATCAGATAACACTGCTACATTAAGTTCGTCTTCATCGTCGTCTGGTTTTGGTAGAAGTAAAAGTATGAGTACAGAGTTCTTGCTCTCATCGTCTGGTAAGACACATATAACTTAACAGTTATATTTTAAGTTCAATTATTTATGATATATTCGCACAGGTGTATTTCTTAATTTTTCTTGTAGCTTCAAATTGCAAAAAAAAAATGTTACAAATACGATATACAGAGTCAAGAAACTGTCATAAAAGTAAAACATAGAATACTACAGTTATAAAATATTTCTTGATACAATTAATTAGTAAAACATTAATAGAATATATAATATATATATATATATATATATATATATATATATATATAAAGATGCTGCATAGTTAAATATATAGGTCTATGGAACGAAAATGGAATATACGGTGTTGATTTTGCAGAACAAATATTTAAAAAGTTAATACACTAATGAGCATATATATATATAATTTTATATATATAGTGTATATATTTGATTATGCTCGTTTTTATTTTTATTGTTTAACCTATATTTTCATAGATTATTTGTTTCATTATTATTGTATAAATAATGATACATTACTGTTTTAATCATTCTCCACAGCTTCCCACTATGCGAGTAGTGTATTCGGACCGGTCGACATGGATACAAGTGACAAAGTGATAGGAGATTCAAAATATATACCAATGTACAGCTTTTTTAACCCGACATAGAAGCTAATCATAATATACAGATCTTATCTAGTTGGTGTCTGTTGTCATGCAAATTAAATATAATACAAATATGACAATAAATGCATTCTTTACATTCCTTTCTTTTATCTTGATGAGAACATGTTATTTACTTGATCTATATGAAATAATGAAATATAGTACTATACTGTTCTACATGCCTGGTATAATATCTTGTTCGACTGCACATTAGTATAATACTCTGAAAACGATAGTAATTTCTGTCCATGTCATCTTTGGCACTGCAATCGGTAATTGATTTATATGCTTAACTGTTTGTGGATTAATCACTTTGATTTTGTATAAATCTAATTTATTTTTTAAATGAAACATAATAAAATTGTAAATAACATGCAATTTGGTCCTTGATGATCGTGGATGGATGGACCAAATAAAGTGGTGTTGATCAAATGCATTCATGCCAGACCTGTGGACAGAAACATAGCAAGCGTCTCTTTAGGTTATCACTCACGCTAGAGTGATATCTGGCCATGGATAGACCTATAACAGGCTTATGAAAATGACAATTGAGCTAAGTTCTTACAAATACACAGGCACAAGTATTGATTTTCTAATAATTACGAATTCGACGACAGTTCTAAGATTACATATTTTAAAAATTATATAGAAATTGAATAATGAGGATTATTTATGACTACTGTATATATAAAATAATTTAGTCATGTATATAAATATTCAAATTGTTAAATAAATATATAAATGAATATTTTCTGTATTGTTCTATGCCGATCAATGTTAAGCAAAACATATACAGTCAAGTTTACTAAATTTACTAAAACATTGGTAGGCCTATATGAGGATGATGACGATAATGTTTAGGATGGTGATGATGATAATGACGATAATGACGAGGATAATGATGTCAGATGACGATGACGATGATTATTATTGTGATGATTATTCATTTTAAAGAACATAACTCTATTAAGTCCATTTTCTTAAGTATTTTATAAGCCTATCATGATTTAAATAAATAAAATAAAAGACTTCGAATGAAATAATAAATTTGGCTGTCTTATGTACTTTTCGTGATAGGTTAGAAGTATTACTTGGGCATAAAATAATCATTATTTGAACATTCATGAAAGTAACACTCGTCAATTTATTGGTGCGTTCATAATAACAAAATATCATGTCTTAAAAAAAGCAATATCAGATTAAAAAGTATGCCTACTACATTTGTCATTGATGATCATCATCCACTTGAAAATTACAAAACAATTAATACGTCATCATGCTTTGAATTATTATGCATATGCACATTGGAACACATTTTGAAAGGAGAACTTAGCATCGAACGAGGGCGGAATTACAGGGACGTATAGGATAAGGCAGAATACGCGTTTCATTATTCAATTAATTAAAGGGGTACGGGGTAGAACATTTCTTGGTGTCAGTGGTGTTGCCGCTTCTCCTATTTGGATTGATGGTACTTTGCTTAATAGCCTATTTAATATTCTAAGTTATTGATTGTATTTTGATATACTTTTCATTTACATATTTTGCCCATATTATATACTAACGATTTTTCTATTCAAATAATAATAAAGTATAGTTAAACGTTTTGGTTGTAGGCAATGCCCACCTCCACATATTTGTAGGTCAGGGCGGTGATGAGGAACGAATTTAGGTGTATGGCCATTGACGTGTAACCATGTGTAACCGAGTAGATATACACTTACAGGCCAAGTTAAAAACAGAGACACTGTTAAGTTATAAACACGCAATACGAATATTATTGCGTTTAACGTACGTTCCAAAGTATTTTATTGGATTTATGGGGAAGATACGCGATTTTCAAATTGTCATCGACAAACGTAGGCCTACTGGTGATGAGCATGTTTTTCAACCAGGCGATATCCTATGTGGAGTGGTCGTTGTACACCTAAATGAGCCTTCAAAAATTGCGAAACTAGAGATTGACATCTGTGGTAAATCTAGTGTGGTAAGCATAATGTCTAATTCATTATTGGTTTCTTTTCAATCGAATTTAGCAAGTTACTGACTTACTAACTCTGCCTGCAGTAAACTTGCGAACAACAAAGTTGCGTTAAGTACAGTTTAATAGGCCTACTGAGTGTTACGGAACCTTATTTAGTTTTGTTACATATTAATACATTAAATAGGAATAATTAAAAAACACGATACAGCTATACAGTTGTACCGTCAGGCCCAGAGTAGATTATATTTTGTGGTACTAACAACATCACAATCGTAATACAGAATTAGACACTGAAACTATTTCTTCTTATGTGTGTTCTATGTATAGTTGAGAGACTATACCGCAATACAACCTGAATAATAGGCCTACATCATAATTGAACTTTTTTGAACTACTTAGTTTCACTATATACACGACCACAATAAATTTTAAACAGTAATGGTCTCAATTTTTTTTTTAATGAGGACCAAACTATGTGGTTTATATTACTGCAATAATTCCCATCGAAACTAAAGATATAATAAATTAATTTTTTTTTACGAAAGAATGTTGAAAACGAACATGACATAGAGTGCGACGTGGAAGATGAACAAGAAAACGAGGAAAAGGATATGACCAAGGCGACTGAGACAAAAAAGCAAAAACAAAACAAGCCAAAAGTGGAGAAAAAAGTAATGGAAGACAATGAAGAGGAGGAAGAATGTGAAGATAGTGAGGAGGAGGAAGAGGAAGAATATGATCCGGATGAGTGGCATTTCCGAGATAGCCAAGTTCTCTGGGGAGGGCGACGTGAGTAAAATTTAATTGTTCAAGTTTATTTAAAAACAAGCACACACGTTACTATTTATCATATAGGCATATACAGTGTATATATGTATGTATGTATGTATATATATATATATATATATTATATTACCGTTACCGTATTACATTACCGTATTTTATTGATCTCACTTTCATTATGAAAAAATACACACTTTTAAACATTTCGAAGAATCATTTTGGGGAGAGAGTTACTTATTGGGAAGGTTACGGTACATTACAAGCTTTATAAAACTGACTTCAAAGGTAATCAAAATAAACAATTTATTAATTATTGCCGATTGATAGATAGGCCTATATACCTTCTATCTGATTTAAAGGTCGGCTCATAATTTGTGTCTAGCTAACTTTATTATTTGACCTCGGATTAACCCCAATTGACGACAATTTTCAATATACCACCAATCCTCGGACTTGATGTAGGTTTGACTTTGTATATTGGAATAAAAAATTAACTATCCGACAGCGCATGGGAAATCAAACTGTACGCCCACAGAGGTTCGCTTCCTCTTGGCTTAGTAGTGCTAATTTGCCAATATGATGTTTTCAATTGTAATAATAAAATAAATATGGTAAAAACATTGGAAATTACAGGAAAAGTAATTTTCACTCTCATTTTTCACTTCAACTCCTCATAAGACTACGGTATTAACTTGTAGGTCTACCTCTTAAATCTGCCTCAAGATTTTTCTCGTGCCGTAACTTATCTAAGTCTTATAATAGATGAATCCCTGATGTGCTTCTCTATCCTACCATTTATATATCATATCTATTTTATTATGAAGTACATTGAGGAAAAACGTCATTAAGTATACTATTCTTTGCAGGTGGACCAACGAAAAAAATGCCTATTGGTCGAAATGAAATACGATTTGAATTTAAAATTCCAAACGGGTAAGTTGAACAATTTGCAGTTGAATTCGTCGTATGGTGGTCGCACGACAAACCTTCCTTTTTAGAAACTTGACATGTCTGATTCTGTTTTTACGTTATTTCATTTCATTTCATTTATTTATTTGACATCAAACGGTCCAGGGGTTGCATCAGCAACAATGCACCATAACACGAATGTGTCTGCAACCCCTGTACAAACAACAGATTACATGGTTAAAATTCAGATATTTACAAATTCAATTAAAAAAAAACAAAAGACCAACAAATAGAAAGGTCCAGTAAAATAGATGCGAATAAAATGCAAATCAGCGAGTTGCAATTTATACAAAACTTATGTATTATCAAGTAGGTGTTTTCTTAAATTCAAGAAAAATAATTTAAGAGGGTGAACAACAGCATAATCTTTAATTAAAGGGGGAAGTAACAGGAAAATTATGGATTGAAGTATATTTTAAAGCATCAGTACGAGCAAACTGATGAATAAACGTGAGTGATTCGGTATGACGCGGGTTGACTTGAATGTCGTTGGAAACACTGTTACAGGAAGCAACCTTATATAAACATCGAAAAATAAACGAAATTAAAATCATTAATCGTCTATCACGTAAAGATAACCAACCAAGTGTTATTAAACGTTCGTCATATGATATTGGCCCACAGTGGGTCTAAGAATTCTCCTAGATACCCTTCTTTGAACTTTTCGACACGGTCTATGTTACTTGTAGTTCTTGGGCCCCATGCCGGTAAACCATATTCAAGAATTGGTAGGACTAATGCTTTGTATAGACATGAAATAGCGTCTGGAGAGCAATTACCAGCAACAGAAAAAAATAAAACCTACCATTCTGATAGCTCTAGCGATTACATTGTCAATTTGAAATTTCCAATTTAACTTGGAAGCAATGTGTACTCCTAAATATTTGTGAACATTTACCAGTTGAATTATTTCACCATTAAGTAGGTAGGCTGGCTTATCAAAACTACGCTTACGCGTGATGTGCATTAATTTAGTCTTTTCAGCATTAAACTTCATTTTATTATCATTAGCCCAAATACACAAACTGTCAATATCCTTTTGTAGAGTAAAAATATCATTCGCACTACGTCTATACCTGTATAGTACTATATCATCAGCAAAAAATATGCATGTAGATAAAACATTAAGGGAACATCATTAACAAACATATTAAACAGGATCGGACCCAGAAGTGACCGGAAGTGAAGTAGAGGTAACTCCTCTAAAGCAGACTCTTTGTCTTCTACCTGTCAGATATGAAGATATCCATTTCCAAACACATCCTTGGATATTAAAATTTGTAGCAATTTTGTGTAGTAAAATGTCAAAGGGCATTTTGTCGAACGCCTTGCTCATATCTAGAAATAAGGCATCGATAATTGAGGGTTCACGTCTATCAAGTATCTTAGACCACTTGTAGGTTATGTTATTAAGTTGAGTTAAAAATGATGTGCGTTTGACAAATCCATGTTTATTTGGATTGAGTAAACCATTGTCGTATGTAAAATTATTAATGCTATTTACAATAATTTTCCCCAAAACCTTGCATATCAAAGACGAAAGAGCTACTGGCCTGTAGTTTGATATTAAAGACTTGTCGCCCGACTTATAAATGGGAATAGTATTTACACACTTCCAATCACTAGGCACAGTTTCAGAACTGAGGGAGGTACGATATAAAATCCAAAGGGGATATGCAATCGAGTTGGATATCGGCTTCAGTAATTTGGCACAGATTAAATCTGCACCAGGTGCCGAATTTGAACGAAATGTGGAGATAGTTGTGATGATATCATCCGGAGTAAATGAAACATTAGTAAGTGCCGGGATTTGAAGTAAGCAAACAGGAGGGTCGCTAAATTTAAAATTATTGTTGAACTGACTAAAAGTGGAGGTAAAGTAACAATTAAAGCCGTTAACAATGTCTTGAATGTTGGAAAAGTGTGAGTTATTTACTGGATTAATAAATTTATTAGGTAAACAAGATGACCGTTTCTCCTTTACAAAGGAGAAAAAAACGTGTTTTTTTTTTTATTATTATCATCAGATTTAAAAAGATCATTTACGTAATCCTTATAGGATTTCTTAATAGCGTAATTCACTTTGTTTCGCCATCTTCTGTGAGCTTCCCAATGATCGGGTAAAGCAGAAAGTCTAGATTTAATGAAAAGTTTCTTTTTCTTCTGAATCATACGTTTAATATCTTTTGTTATCCACGGACTACGGTACTTTGTTTACGAGCCTTGCTTTTAACTCGGGGAAAACTGTCCCGTACCGCAGCATCGAAAATATCCATAAATCCATTCCATGACGATTCTGCGTCATTATGATCAAGAAAAGCGCTCCATGGTGCAAAAATGCAAGAGGTTGTTCAAATGATTAAAATCCACCTTTTTCCACTTGATAAATGAGCGCATTGTGGATGTCGGTGGCAAAGATTGACGGAAATCGAGCTCAAATTCGATTGCATGGTGGTCGCTTACGCATAGTTTTCAAAGAAGGCGAACGGTTCGAAAAAAAACTAGGTCTATCTTTGACCCGTCATTAGCATTTGTGGAAGGTATTGTGTTGTGACTAACAAATTGATCAAAGCCGTAGATATTCATCACATCGGTGAATTGATATGGAGCATTTGGCCGAATAATGTTAAAATCGCCCAGAATGACAAAAGAGTCATACTTGTAAAACAAGTGATCTTGGCGGGCTAATGCGTGTTCAAAGTGATCCCAGAACGCAATGGTTGAATCCGGGGGTCTGTAGACAAGGCAAAATAGATGAGATTTGTTGGAGGATGATATAGAAACCCACATCATTTCAATATCAGATTCGGATGCGATTTCCTTCGAGTTTAATGAGCTATTAATACCCATAAATATGCCTCCTCCGTGGGTAGCAGTTCCACGGTCTCTGCGAAAAATATCGAACTTGTTAAAAAAAATGCAACATACTCGAGTCATCCATTGAATTCAGCCATGTTTCTGTTAGGCAAATAATATCAAGTCCGTGTGGTTTATTGTCGCAATATATATCCAAATCGGGAGACTAATTGCGAATGCTGCGACAGTTAGAGAGTAAAACTGAAACTGTTCTTTTGGCTGGTGGACCACTGCAGGACGATGAATTGCCATTGGGACCTGGGTTTAGGTGGATATCCCCAGACATAATCAAAATATTAAAACTGGTGTTTGAAGCCGGATAGTACCGAGTAGGTGCTCGGGAAAACTTCCGTTTGAAATTGGGACATTGTCTACTTGTGCAATAAATAATGTAGCACAGTTCGTTAAGTTTCGCTGAACAACTGATAGGCTTAAAGTGCACGGTGTTGTTTCGCACTACAAATGGTTCACTATGATATGATGACGTAACGTCCGTGGCGCGAAAACCAAGTCGTCTTCGCTGATACATCGGGTAAAAAACATAATCAGATATAACCATTTGATTACTACGACGCATTTATCTGTACTGTATTTTTGATTTGATGATATATATATATAGTAACGATTTATGGGTATGCCACAAACTTTATTGAAAACTAGCGATTACTTTCGACTATAAAGTCTTTATCAAGCCATTATATAGGCCTATATAGGATATATATATATATATATATATATATATATATTGAAATGATATAATGATATATAATAATATAGAAATATCATTTGAATGTATCTTACATTAGTAAAGCACATCATATTGGTTGATGACATTTACGATCAAACATAATATTAAATGGATTAGGAGAGATTGTCTATAAATATTGCAAAATTTAGCTTAAGGGTTTTTAAATCAGAGTTATAACCAATCATCAGCTATGCCAACTTGTAAAAATCCATCGATGCAATCACTACTCGGTATTCAACTTGTACTTAGTTGATTATTGTAAAAGTTTTTATTTTTTTCAAGTTCCTTCTTAATAGGCCTACAATCGATACCGTATTGTTTCGAACAGTTTTAGCTGTAGATATATATCTCGTTCGTTTATTTCGATTCATCCATAATCCCTTATCAAATCAAATTCGTCTTTAATTACAGTACTGTAGGCCTACTAATGAAGGTCTATTAATTACAAACACAGTGATATACTGTAATACAAACTTGTATTTATTGTTGTAAGAAAGCCATATTTAATAATTTGCATTTGTATGAAGAGTGGTGGTACTGGAAAGTAAGCATTTATTGTGGTGTGTTGCTTCATAAGGTTTGCTGACCATGAGTCAACATTTTGTTGTGATCAGTGTGATACTCAGCGACGTAACAAGTCATGATGGGGTCCCGGTGGCTTTTTATATGAATTTCCCAACCCAAACAATGACCAGTGCCATGAAAAAAAAAATTATGTCCCTTTATTTGTCACACCGGAATGATACCCTGGCTTATACGGTTTTTTTTAGACCTACCGGTCATGATAAATTAGATAAAGTGATATCCATTAATATGCTCGTTTTATGAGAACACACCAAAGGTCCTATAGACGGATTATATGGTGAGTTTTTCATTATAAAAAATTCTAAAAATCGTACTTTTATTTGAAACAGTCCCGCTATTTAACGTTATTAAGCAACAATAAAATAAAAAAATGAATTTATGTACGTACGTCACTTGTGTATGATAACAATAAAGTATAAAACAATGTTGACGATCGGCATTGTTATGTGAATTATGGGTCTATTTCATTCATTCATTCATTCATTCATTCTTTATTTAGCCTATAAAAAAAGTCATAAACCTTCCAAAAACATTTTTCTTGGCGATGTATATGATACGGTGAAACTGCTTGCAATATACTTTATTGTGGTACAGCAGAGAGAGAGAGAGGGGGGAGAGAGAGATGTGCAGATAAAACGTTGACGGCGAACACGTCACTGATAAACGCGCGCGCGTTATGAAAATAGGCATGCGTATAAAAAAATTAATGGATTTATTATACAGCAATGATGTCCACATCATCTTTGACCTTGTGTATTATTTGTGCTACTTTACAAGCTCTGTTTTTTAATTACAAAATTGTTTTTGCCGAGGAATTTAAATTGGGGTTTATTCACTCACACACAGCTATAGTTACTGATGACGCCGTTTATGAAGGAAGCGCAATAGCAGGAGCTTTCGTGAAGGCCATAAATGACATCAACCAGAGTCCTGGCGTATTGCCGAGTAAGTCACAAAGTGGGCCCTGGTCGGCAGATATTTTACTCTGCTGTTCAGTGTTATGTCTGCCTAGCCTAGGGCATAAAAAAAAATCCGGGTGCTAAACACAATAAACTTCAAAGGCCTATCAACAAAATACATAGGATTATGGCCTACTAAACTAGGCCTAGTATGTCTACAAAATGTATTCTTTTGACTTGAAAATTGGGAAGGGTCTGCCTGCAGCGGCAGTTTGATGATATCGATAAGTTAAGTAAGAATGCGTTAGCTAGGCCTAGCTTAGGTAGACCTAACTAAGTAAGAGTAGGCCTATGCCTAGGGCCTAGTAGTAGTACTATACGGTACTAACTCCAGTAGATAGGCCCTACTAGGCATGAAGGAGGCTTGTAACTGTATATATGTATAGCTAGGCCTAAGCCTTTCCCTATTTATATATTTATAATCTACACTCTCTAAATAAATAATACTCTTTTATGAAGAAGAAGTTGTATATTATATAAAAATATTTTCCAAAGTTGTATTTATTAATATTAGGCATAGACCTATGTTTTATTAATTTTTTTCAACCCGATTATCTTACTCTTTTTAATTTTCCATACATTATTAACGGTAAATTATAAAAAAAAAAAAATACCGAAATCAAAAGTCATCTATTTTTACCTAACTTTTTATAATACACTTTTCTGCTTTTGGTTCAATACATTTCATACAAAAAAACCCCCTATTTTTTAGTTAAGAATCTGCGTAGTAGTCCTATTGGTACATTTAACGAATGAATTATTAAATTTGGTATGTCACCGTGACACTCAAACCAAATCATGGCAAAAAAAAGTTGTTTTATTTAATTACTGTTATTTGTCATTATCACAGATTCGACATTAACATGGGTATGGGAAGACACAAAGTGTGACGTCTCGACTTCACTTACATCTATCAGTTCAATGTGGGTTGACGATATTGTTGGTTTCATCGGTACCGGTTGCACGTGTGATTACGAGAGTCATGTTTCATCGGCCATTGGTTTACCTTTGATCGATTACGTATGTAATATACAAAGTAAAAATGAATGTGTTTTAATCGTGCAATGGGAAGAATGTATTTATTAGTTGAAAGATAAACTGTTCCATTCAATGAGGAGGAGCTCCGTCCCGTTGAATGGAACAATCCACTTTCAACGAAAGAACATTTTGCCATTGTGATATCAGTGCAATATTCCATATTTACAGGCCTGTAATGTAGAGCCTGATGGAGCTGAAGAGGTTGATGTGCATACCCCGGAGCTATTCGTGAGCCTTTTGCCCCGAAGGAAGTATGTGGCTTACTCAATAATTAAACTTATGGACAGGTACAACTGGAAAAAGGTTTGTGCAGTCCTGTAAAAGTTATTAACAACAAAAATGTTCCAAGTTGAAACGAATAGATGGGTCTATTACTGTAATGTATTTAGTACTATAATGAAATAACATAAGCCCATAAATCAATAATTAATGAATTACTATATATCCATTTCAATTACATTGTATATGACGTGGTAATCGATAATTATTAATTACTCAACGTCCGTTTTAATGAAATGACATGGACCGATAAATAATCTTACACATGTCTAATTCAATACGGTGCACTTAATTTATCATCTAGTATTGTGTATAAATTGTAATTTTATATACGAGTAATAGACTGATGTCCCCTTGTTTTAAGTCAATCCCGCTTTTTATGAAACATAAACCATGTGTTTAATACCATTTGGAATATATTGAAATGTATTGTATCCACTAAATTAAAAATATAGGTGACCCTAGTTGCACGCGATGACACAGTGTGGCTTGAAACGATGTGGTTTACAAGAGACCTGTTGAACATTAATCAGATGAATATTAATGATATCATAATTTATGCAACTGAGCCCAGCCCACAAGGGTGTGAGCAGAACGATGATGCTACTGTCAGAGAAGCCAGACGATACATCTGCAGTATGAAGAACGAAATGAAACGCTTGATACGAAATTCATGTCGACAAACTAGAAGTAAACACATTTATAATTTTAATGAACTTACACTTCTTCTCCCTTCTCCCACATAAAATAGCGTATGTAAAATGTTTTAGCAGAAACGACAAATATTTATCAATAGAAATCGAACATTAAATAAGAGCGGTTTGAAGCTATAAAATTGTCAATGCACTCTCATGTTTTAAAGTAAAATCATACATCTCAAATGTGGCTAATATAGGCGACTGTAGCAATTAATGTGATGAGTATTTTGTAACCAAAAAGAGCTAATTACAATATTTTGCATTAGACTTATACAAGTTTATATATAGGCCTATAGTTTTTGTACAAAAAGTCCTACTAACAAGTAATTATTGGTGAATATGCTTTAAAATGTTAATATTCAGTTGTTTATTGTTCAATTCAGTTTATGTATTCTTTGGAGAGCCATGGGAACTGAGGATATTTTTACTGGCTGCCTCGTCTGAAGCCATCCTGGACACCGGGGAATACGTTATCATTGGATCTGTTATAGACTACTATGAAAGGAATGAACAAGATTTCCATGGAATTCACTGTAAATACAACAACAACAATAATAATAATAATATTAATAATAATAATAATAATAATAGTAATATTAATAATAATAATAATAATAATAATAATAATAATAATAATAATAATAATAATAATAATAATAATAATAATAATTTATACAGCGCCAGTATCACTAAACCGAAGTAGAAATTAAAGGCGCTGTGCTTGTTTGTTTTGAGTTTGGTCTTTAATATATCAACGTGAAGGTGAGTCGGCAAAATAAAAATGATCTGTGGTCGTAGGATTTGGTGTTAACTTTATAGGAACAATGAGCAAATAAGGTCAGAAGAAAGGAGGGAGGATAAAGAGGCATATTTAGGAAGGAGATCAAGTAGGTAAGTGGGCTGTTGGAGTCGCAGTGCAGTGATTATAAATAACTAGGAGAAATACATGAATGAAAACAATGCAAAAGTATAACAAATTGACGTTTATTTCGTTAACAACAGTTTATAAATTGATTCGAATACAAAATCGAAACATTAATAATTCAAATTTTTTAGATTATCATTGAAATTTGCTATGTAAAATGAGTAACTACCGTTAGTTTATTCGTCGTTGTATACTGTATACAGATTTTGGAATAGATGATGGTGAGGACACAAGAGCCAAATTGGCTTTTGAATCATTATTATTACTAACTCCACACGTTGCTCCAAACCTCGCCTATACCACCTTCAAGGAAGAAGTAGCAAACATATCACAGGCAGAGCCATTCAACTCACCTTATACTATGGTAGGTACCGTCGATAACTGGAATGTATAAATATGATAATTAATTTGTTAAGTATGAAATCTACCAGAATGGTGTTCTAGCTTGATAACTGCGAGGACGCCTACCAAATCTCAGTGTCATGTCATGGATTTAAAAATGCACCTGCATAATTCATCCTTCCAGGATATTGCTTGTAACTCGCTGGTTGATGAGTATCAAATAATAAAACTTTGCTGATATATTCTTTATTTCACATCACATTAGTACGTCTAAATTTATTAGTAAAACCTCAAACGTTTCAGTATACATTTGTGATGTATAACCGAATTAATCTAGCTCTAACCTTTCATTAATGTTGGCAATAACAGAACTTTAAGTGCTTATAGATAGCAACCATAACTCAGACGTTCCATTTCTGGTGATCAGAACAGACCGTCCTGTATCCTGTAGTAGCAGCAGCAGCAGTGAAGGGCTTTTAGTACATTGTTGTCCTATTTCGCCGTTAGTATATTTTGTAAAACGTATAATTTATTTATCTAGGTCTCTGCAATATTTTAGAATGTGGAATGCTAATTTACAGACATAATTTTGGATATTTATTGATGGACACTAGGTACTACAATAACTCATTAGTCCATTAAGTAAATCGTGTAGAAGAGTCAATATTTCATGCATATGTATTATGGTAAACGCGTTCCCATCCTATTGAAACAAGATAATGCAATAAATCAGCCTAATTAATAAATGTTTAATGTTGGATCTTGTAGGACAGCCCATGGTTCACGTATGGTGCGTTTCTGTATGATGCCGTTGTACTGCTGGCAAACGTTTTCCACGAGGTAATGGTTGATGGACACGACCCTCGAAATCTTACAACATTAGTCGACAGAATTAAAGGACGAGAAATTGAAAGTAAGTCTCCGCTGTGTCCATTAACTTTTCCGTCGATTAAACTGTCAAATGAATATCTGGTTGTGTGTTGATGCTAAAATGTAGGCCAAGATCAGATGTCGAACTATGAAACGTAGAAGGCTTGGTACATTGACTTTGAAGATTACGGTGCCATAAATTTATTTAAAAACCTGTAAAATATGATAATAAATTTATCATAGATATTTTATTATTATATACTTTCGAGAAACGATATTAAACCACTTCGAATGTCTTGCCTCTTGATCCTTTCCTTCTTTGAATTAAAAAAAAATAAAATACTAACACAAACATAAATTATTTATGATTAATATTTGTATAGGGCACACGTGATAATTATTAAATACACTAGGCATTTATGCATATTATCTACTTTCTATGGTTAGTACTATAATTCAATCTCTTTTTTTTATCTAAAGTCGAAAGTAGTCCTAAATAAAATTTCGTTTCTTATAGTCTATTCTTATAGCAATTTTATTTTAAAGTAAGTTAATGATTACTGTTAATCTAAATAATAATAGTTGTGGATAACATCGTATAATGTTTTTTTTTTTCTTTTTCTGCTACAGGTATCAGTTCAATCACGATTCAATTTGATGATGATAGTGGCGATGCTTTTGTATCATTTGACGTACGGGACATGACTAAATTTTCACTGGACGATCATATTAAAGGAATGGTCCCAGTAGCACAGATAACACGAAACATCAACAGCGGACAATGGGTAGGCCTACATCAAGAAAAAGATAATACATTTCTTTTTTCAATGTGCTTTTGTTTATTTTAGTAACTTTTTTTTTTATCATACTAAGATGATTAGCCTTATTACCCCAAAACTGAATTACAGTAGCAATAAATAAGTCTACGTCTAATTTTTACTACTTAGATGTATGAGCCTATTGTTGATGCGCCGGATGTACATTGGCCTAATCGCACAAGCCCGCCGATCGATTACCCTCCTTGTGGTTACGCTGGCGAGTTCTGCAAAATCCCAAGTAAGAGCTAAGTTTATAATATTTCATTAGCTGACGTCAAATGTATTTCTACCTTTATACTGTGCACATAATAAATAAATAAATAAATTTAACGTAACTTTTCCTCTGTAGATTATATGGCAGCTATGTGCGTGATCCCAATAAGCATAATCGTCATAGGACTCATCGTTTACAGGTATGACAACCATGGATGAAGTTGCCAAATATAGATGTATTTTAAATAACACATCAATAGACCTAAATATTTTTTCTAAAACCATATTTATAGAGGGTGACCCTTCTAGCGCATCATAGAAAGTCTGCTGATGATATTCAGGGGCCTTCTTTAATAAATGAAATGACATGATGCTTTATCATAACGAAGCTTAGGGAATGGGAACGTGTTCGGTATGAACTATTACTAATAATAATAATTATTATACATAATATGTAATAGAGACGACTTTTACACAGGAAACGGAAGTACGAAGCGGACATGGACAGTTTGGTTTGGAAGGTTGACTGGGCAGATGTTAAGGAAAGCAAAAAACATCAGAGTATGGCGGTAGGTAATACTATAGGATAAATATATCATTAAGTTAAACTTCCGTACAAGAAAATTCTAAAAGACTAGTTGACAATGATTGTGGGTCTACAAGATAATGACTATTTACAGTATCTTGGAAATGGTTACATGTAAATAATTTTATACAGTAATTCCTATTCTATTTATCGTGTACCCCAATTTGCAGGCGATGAGTCAAGTGTCAATGTCTGGGAACCTGGATCAAATGCAACGCTATGCAACAGTAGTGAATTACAAGGTTCGCATTTCATCTATAATTATAAGTTACTTTCCCCCGTCGGGGAGAGCTTCCCCCGCCCCCGTCGGGGAGAAAAACTAAAATTCGTCGGGGAGAATGTTAAGCCCCTGTCTCTTATACACATCTAGATGTGTATAAGAGACAGATATATAGTAGTGTATTCCACATCAGTAAGTATGAACTCCTAATCAATTATCTATTCCACGATATTATTTTTCGATTAAAAAAAAAATTTTTTTGCAATATAACTGTCATTTCAGATGCGAGATATTCGTCATGACAATCTTTGTGTGTTTGTTGGTGCCTGTATTGATAGTCCTAATATGGCTATCCTAATGAAATATGCTGCTAAAGGTAGTTTACAGGTAAGTCAATCGTCGGTGTCAGGTTAACGTCCCACAAAAAGAGTTTACCCCTATAGCTATCATTACTAAAAATTGGAAATAAACTGCCAGGCAACTTAAGGGTGTGCAAATGGTTTAGGACAAGTAATATGGTAGTTATGCGTCTGTTCTAAATGAAAAAATGTTTTTTGAATTAAGCAAATAATATCGATATATATTATAATTATCTTGCGTATCAGTACTGCTATGCTAAGTACTGCTGTGGTAGATAAATTTCAACATTCTGTTCATTGTAGCATATGGAATTATTCGATATCTTCGTTATTGTTGTTCTTGGATTGTGCTGAATGAACACATTAAAATCGTGACAACGAAACAGGGAATGGGCCAGAATTACTAAACCAATGATGAAGAAAAAATTATATTAATTTAACAGTTGAATAATAAACTTTTTCCATTTTATTGAAGGATATATTGGAGAACGATGAGATTAAGCTAGACAACATGTTCGTGTCATCCTTGCTGGCCGATCTTGTGAAAGGCATGATCTATCTTCATAGCACATCCATCCTTTCACATGGCAACTTGAAGTCCACCAACTGCGTGGTGGACAATCGCTGGGTGCTGCAGGTGACAGACTATGGCCTACACGAGTTCAAGCAGGGACAAGACCAAGAAGATAACGATCCTCGCATAAAAGCAAAGAGTAAGATTTCCAAGTAGAAAAGTGGGTCACGTTATTTTAGACCTAGTTACGCCTAATTTATAACTTAATCAAGATTGGTTTCTTAATTCAACGTCATTGGAGACTATGTTTACGTATTTACGTCACCTACATAATCGAAAATTTGAATTGACTTATCCATTAGATTTGCTATGGAGAGCTCCTGAACACCTGAGGGAAGAGGACTCAATGTTGCCATATGGCTCATGTAAAGGCGATGTTTATTCATTTGCAATTGTATTAAATGAGGTTTACAGCAGGGCGGAGCCATACTATCTGAATGAAGAGGACCCAGAAGGTGAGGTTGATATTCATATTCTAGAATAGAGATTTGGTTTATTATTATTTAAAAATGTAAATGCTTGATCAACGGTCAAACTCATTAATGCCTACAGCATAATCAACAAACAAGCCATTAAAATTTTATTTAATCATTTTGAAACCTCATTTGTAATTAGAGGAGAAACAAAAGTCAGCAAAAATTTATTAAAATCTCTCAATGCTTATTTTGATAAGAGTGAAATGTCAATGAGAAGTAATGTTACCCCAGATACATAGGCCTAGTTGGATTATGAAGGGGTAGCGGATCTATCCATCCCATACACCTACTGTTCCAGCTCTAACGAGCTCTATCACACCCTAGTGGAATATGGTAACGTTCCAACCCCCAAAGCATAGTTAGGTATACGCTGAGATTACGCTGTATTTTATATTTATACTGTCTGTTATGATTATTTTAAGTATATATTTGGCGGATAACAGCCAATGAGGGTCCGTACCGTAATAACTTACTACAATGAATGATTGATTGAAACACCTATCGGAGGACGCATTAAATAAATTGATGAATGATCCAAATATATTTGAGTATTGCCTGGGCCTACTTGTTTTAAAAATCGTATGTAAGGTGCGATAAGTTCTGTTCAGTGGGCAAATATCGTGGTATGTAAGTATACATATATTATTATTTTCAGAAATTATTTCAAATGTGAAGTCTGGTTTGTGTCCTGCATTTAGACCCGACATCAGTGATATTGTTGAAGATGCACCTCCGTGCGTCATTACATGCGTGCAGAAATGTTGGAGAGAGTCGCCAGAAGAGAGACCGGGCTTTGTGGAAGTCAAGAAAATTCTGGAACCACTACAGGCGGGTCTGTAAGTACGCACCAGTGATGTTAGTCTAAAACTATATAAACGATATTACCAGAGTAATTGTAAGGAACGAATAAGCTTAAAAGGGAAGTAAACTGCTTGTTGTCAATTTGGCAGGGAACGAAAACTTAATAGGCCTACTGATCTAAACATATATTTATTCAAACAATAGTCTATGAGTCATATTTTTTTCTACATACATACGCAAATTCTATCACTCAATCATCTTGTTACATCCTTAAAAACATTCTATGGATTTCTATTGGAGGTGGTTATTATTATATTTTATTATTTTATTCTATTTTCAGTTTTTTTGCGCTATACAAAATATATAACCATTAACAGTTGATCATTTAATTTTGAACTAATTCCAGGCACAGTATTATTTTCTATCATAATTATTTAAATTGTGCAGTGTCCAGTGTTTTTGTAAAGCGCGCCCTCTTTAACAGGCTTAAAGTTCTGTAGGCATCACAATGAAAATCGGCAAGTTACGGAAACGAGTCTGCGAGAATATTGCCATGAGCATAGTTCTCTGTTATGCTATTGTAAAAAAACAAAAGTAAAGCTATACCTGCACTTTTATGGAATCAGATGCCTAAGATTTATGTAGGCCTAAGTGGTATTAAATATTAAATGATTCAGCCATTTAAGAATCAAACAATAAATCAAGGACAATACAAATTTGTGCAGATTTTACAAGACAAACATAAACGTTCAGGTGTTCACAAATAAATATATAGTAAAAACAAATAAAATGGTTGTCCTCTGGAGACCAATTTCAGCTTCATTTTTCACATTTCGGGTTCAATTATCTAATTATCTATTTGGAGATTTCAGCATTCTCCATTTAATCTGAACGTGTTATTTAGGGTCAGGACACGTTCCACAAACACGCACGTTTACGCTGTCGTTTTGTGGGACTTTTAATGGGCGGAACAGTATATTGGAAAATCAATTCAACGTACAGTATTTCTATAGCGTGTGTATGAGTCATTTTACTTTTCTTCTATGTAGCATAAATGTTTGTTTTTGGTGGTTAAGGTTTTTTTGTCAATACATGTGAATGCAGGGTGGATGGTTGTTCTTTGTGTTCTATTTTTACAACGAAAAGTGCCTATTTACTTATGAATTTAAAGTGTTTGTAACGTTGGTTTATGCCAGATTTTTCATCAACAAAACAACTTTTGTTCGAAAGTCGTCAATAAAATGCTGTATAGGCGTGTTGTATTTGGTCTCGTGCTCTTCGGGACTACAAACCTGCAAGTAGTTAGAACCTGTGTGTTGAAATACAATATAGTACTCAGGATTTATCGTCATTGCCAATAATGTTTTATCATTGAGATCGTGATTTTTGTCAGTTTATTTTATTGTAATATATTTAGATATATTTTACATAATAGGACCGAATAAGTAGGCCTACTGTTCAGGCCTATATTTTCATTTAATAAACTCGGATTTATCATAGGCCCATCTTTTCATTGTGTAAAACAACAGCGAGGGACAAAAATGTTAGACCTTAAAGACAAAATATATAGCTATGATATTGCAGTCTCATTCCGAATTACAGTCAATATGGTTTCTCTTTGCACTGAATAATATACAGTATGGTATATTGTCGCTAAAGATGGTGTAGCCCTATGTTATCTGCCATTGTGATGATGGTAACACAAAGGGATTACTGCTGCAGGCCTATCCGGCTGAAAACTGTCCGATTTAACCATCTAATCATTAACAGATTAGGATACCCAGCAAAAAAGGAGATGATGGTTAGTGCGAGTATAATGATGCAAACACAACAAGAGAAAATTGCAAAATGTTAACATTTTGAATTTCAGGAAACCGAACATTCTTGACAATATGATTGCCGTAATGGAACGTTACACTGAGAACTTGGAGGAGCTTGTGGATGAGAGAACAAGCGAATTGCAAAGAGAAAAACGAAAGTCGGAAACGCTCTTGCATAGAATGCTTCCACCGTAAGTAAAAAACAAAAAGATAGTCAAATAATTTTATTATTGATATGTATTTCTTGTAAAGAAACACTTAGAAGAATAATACATTACATTATCTAAATATTTACATAAAAATTACCGTACTATTATTTTATTAAAAGAGAAACAATATTATTCAAATTATTACATTACAGTTGAACTTGCCTAATTCGAATCGACTTAAATAAAATTTGATACAGATCGTTAATTAATGGACAACACAATAATTTGGCATATAAAATAAGAACGCAAATTTATACTGTACATTGAAAACATTTAATTGGTGTATAATGAAAAAATGAATAATTACTGTACAGTAGCGGCCTACATTAAAATCACCGTACAATTATTTTATTAAAAGAAAACAATAATATTCATCCATCTATAGATCGATAGCTGCTCAGTTAATCAAGGGCATCTCTGTTCTTCCGGAAGCATTTGAGCAGGTGTCAATTTTCTTTTCTGATATTGTTGGCTTCACAGCATTGTCAGCTGCCAGTACACCTATCCAGGTAAGATGTACAGGGGCGTATGCTGGTTTCGGCCTATAGGGGTGGGGGAGGGAAAGTACAAAAAATGAGAATGCGGAAATAAATCCCAGAATGCAAAAGTACAACCCTATTCCAATGAAAACTTAATGGTTATTTTTAGTAATTTTAAGCTTAGTAGAGAGGGGTGGC